GGGAGGGCATACCTCTCCAGCCAGGGGTTCTGCTGCCCTCACATCATATAATAAGTACAAATTCTGAAACCACAGCATTTTTCTAAGGCCTACGTGGAAGAAGGACAGTGGATTTCTGATTCAGAGCTCCCAAGGCACAGGGCAATTTCTCCTTTCAGTGTAAGACACACTCTCCCATTCTCAGACCTTGACAATGACAATCACATGCATGTGAACAGCACTTTCTATTTTTCAAGACACTTCCTAATCCAGCATCCTATGTGATCCTCTCAGCTCCCCAGAGAGATAAGCAGAGCAAAAATGTTCTCCCCATTTTACAGGAGAAGCAGCTGAGTCTAATGATGCTCGTGCTTTGCCGGCAACCTCAGCACACGTGTGGCAGCACGTTTGCAGCCACAATCCTGGCTTCTGATAAAGACTGCCTTCTCATTGCAAAGCATGAGTGATAAGAAGTCTTTTGCCTTAGACTATGGGAACATTGGCAATAGCTTCCTATTCTCCCCTAAATTGGGGCACGGGCCTGCCTCTGATGAGGCCATGCATCCTCTGATTGACATCGTTGCTGTGAAAGACGTGATGGCGTGATGGCAGGGTAAGACAATTCACCGAAGGGAGAGGGGAGTTTTTTAAGGCTGGAGTAAAAGAGGCTAGAAAGGGAGGCGGGGCATGGGAGAGCAGAGAGAGGCCCTGATTGAAAAGGGGGAAATTATCCCAATCCTAGCGCTGCTGGAAAATGGGAAAGTTATTGCTGCACAAAGACCCTCTCAAACCGCCTGCCTTCCAAAATTTCTACTGCACTCTCTGCAGTTACTTGTGTATGGCAGAAGCAGCATCTTTGTATTATATGAACAGTCTGCTTCATAATCAAATACCATCTGTCGCTACATCTGAACTTGTTTTCAACATCTGTGCGTTCTGGTCTTAACAAAGCTTTAAAAACTAATTCAAAAACTTTCACAGATCACTGACTAAATATGGGCATTGACCATCTTTCCACATTGGTTTGCGATGTTTCTCCTATAGGTGCCTCCGTTGGCCTGGGAAGAGTTAAGACATATACACCTGGAGGCTTTAGAAAGCTTATTTCCTAATGGCCTTGGGTAGCCAAGTGCAAGAGAGGGACACTTACTTATGCACCGAGAGGACCCATCATATTCTTTCTTGGTGCCAATATGGTCCCTTCCTGCCAATGAGAAACCTGTAAGTTGATCAGCTACCATACCCCAATTACTCAAAATGACACTACAGATAAAACGGCAACCAAGGGGAGAATGAACTGTATGGCTTCGACGCAGCGAAAGTGTGTTTGAACAAATGGTGAAGTAAAACCATGAGAGCTCTCGAGAGGATAAGGACGCTGTTACTTTGCACATGCTTCAGAAATGTGAAGTACATCTTTACAGAACTTTCGGCCAACCCCCTGGCAGATGTTGACCAGTTTTGCTTATGTATACATCAGTTGCAGAACACTAAAACAGAGATTGGAAATTTTAATTTAGTCAAGGCAGTTGGGCTAAAATGATGGCTTTTGTTGAAACCATTAAATAGAGCTGCCTAATGAAGTACAGTACAGGGCTGGCCAGCAGAGCCCTGACGAGAGGCTGCTGCTTCCAAGCCGGAGAGAGGGAGAGCAGTGCCACGGGTCTCAGTGCGGGCAGCATGGCGTCCTTGGACAGAGAGGAAGGGCTTGGTGTGGTGGGGACAGAGGTGGGCAGGAGCTAGGCACCACGAGCAGAGGGGTGTCTGTCCACAACACGGACACTGGTGGAATATTAGTGCACGGGTGTGTGTGTGTGTGTGTGTGTGTGTGTGTGTGTGTGCGTGCATGCATGTATATACAAGTGTGTGCTGGGGCAAGTGAAGGTTTTATTTTGGAAGCATTCTTTTTTTAAGTTGCAGTTGCCCATTTGCAAGGGGCCAGGAGGGAGGGTGGTAGAGTAAGCAGCTGCACGGCCCCTGCTTGTGCGTGGAGTGTGGATTGTAGAGATTGGAGGGTGGTGGCAAGGAGTAAGGCTGGGAGATTGTGGGAGGGGCGGGACGCGTCCGGGTTAAGGAGTCTAGTGATGGATTCTGCTGCTTCAGGACACTTGCCCTTCCCATGGCTGCTTGACAGCAAGTCGCCATCAGGTGTGCCAGGCTCATCTACCTGGCCCACTCGGGGTCAACGGAGGCAAAGCTAAGAGAACCTCAGTGTTGATTGGAACCCACTTCAGCATGATGGGGCTGACTGATAATTATTTAGACGACTGGACATTAACTTCTAGCATAGTGATGAATATATTAAAGAGCATTAGACTTTGTGCATAGTTTTCAATTGTTTTCCTGTTTTAGTGAGAATTGTTACCATATGACCAGTTAGTCACGAATGTTTAAAAAGATACAAACAATACATTTCAGTAAAGATGGCTATTACTAAGATATAATTATTTAAAGTATATAAATTAGTGAAGTTGCATGCAATAAACACCTATTATTGGCCACATATAGCAGACAATAGAGAGTCAGTCCTTATTTGTCTTTTGGGGAATAGGTTGAAACAGCAGTTGATTTTTGTCAAGTGACTTCTATTTTGAAAACCACCAAAAGAATTAATTAATAGTCGTTTGAAATGATTGTCTGAGATGAAGTGGGTGCTGGTGTATTCTTTTCAAGCTGGCTCAGATGTATAAACATGGCCTAAGTACAAAACAAACAAACAAAATCATACACACACAAACATGGTTTTGTTGTTTAGTATTTGGGATATGTATATATTGTGTTGTTGTTTGACTTGTTAAGGAGAGACTCAGACTCCTAATTCTTCAAGTGAACCCAACAAAAGCCCAGGATTAAACCCTGAAAGTTCCATGTTCCAGAACGTTCCCAATCTTCCAGGGATGAGGATGCCTCTATGACCATCCTGTAACATTAATTCTTTACACAGATGATGCTTAATGGCCACAGGGAGTCACTGACCCAAAGCTGGTGACCACTGCTGCAGGCTAGCGAAAGTTCTAGTATCCACTTTTAGCTCCAATTAACTCTAGATCTTTTATAATTACAGAGATATATTAATCCCACCCAGTGAATATGTAAAATCATATTATTCTATGTGGTTAAGAAATATTTGTGTTTCACTCAGGTAAGTATTGAGATAAATTTAGATTTCTTTAAAACAGATTTACTGACAGTCTAGGGGAGACACTCAAGAGAGCTCTAGATGGGCCAGGAAAACCAGTTTGGAATTAAATGTTTCCTTAAATATTTATATTATAGCCCTCAAAAATGGAGTCTTTCCCCCACCTAGATGATTGAGATTTGTCTGGAATATTTTTCCCACAGCTTCTAAATATCCAGATTTATCTGAAAAAGAACAAATGTCCAGGAGGTAGGGAGAAGGGGAAAGAAGGAGAATTCCAATTAGATGCTGCATAATTTTTGTATCTACTAAAGGGAGAACAGCAGATGCAATTTTGAAAGCCAAATTATTTGGAGAGGGGGAGAGAAGAAAAATCAGGACTCGGTTGACATTGACGATCACGCTGATGTACAGTTTCCAGTTCATTTCTTTTCCTTTTTTTCCCTAGGATGTAGTGTCAGTAAATGCCACTGCTCTTAAAGGTTTGCCAGTATTTCTGTGAGAAATCTCCATCGTTTCTGCTGGGGGTGTGCTATAACTTGGCAATTTGTGAGCACACTGGGCTGAAGCATGGTGTACACATTGTCAGCCCAGATGCAATTTTCCATTGCAATTACCAAAAATGAAATCAAAGAAGCTGCTTGGGATTTTAGTTTATGGGGACGTTAGTGAAAAGGAGGATATTTGTATTGCTCTTTTCTTGCTGCACGTTTACACTCCCCGATTTTGTTCATCTTTAGTTCAGGCTGTTCTCATCTTAGAAAAAGTGAAGTTTAAACACACACCAAAATATGAAGGTCGGTTTCATTGTAGAGCACATCTTTGTTTGGGCACAAATGTGCTTTAAGTATGGTGTTTCCTGCCAGAAGTTGAGGGCAGAAATTGGACCTTCTCCCCAGGTATAACACCTGTGGGTTTCCTTCAGCTACTACAGAACTCTCCTCATTACTGTGTGTTTCCTTCCAAGTTTCTTGGGGTTCTCCAAGGGCCCTACATTTTAGTCTGTGTTGGTTAATTGGTGGGCAGGCACCACTTCTATGCAAACCATTCTGTATGAGGCCTCAGACAGTGTCTGAGCACACTGGACACAGCAACAGATTTTGACTGTCACATTTCTTTAACAATTGGCTCAACAGATTTTTCAAGTGAATTAACCGAATCAACTGATACCTCTGACTTTGTAGACTTGAAGACATTATTTCAGTCATGTCCCCCCAAAATACGTATTGAATGAAATATGAATGAAGGGATCGCCGGGGCCATCAACAGCTTAGTAAAGATTCTTGGATTAGGAGGAGGAAAATTTTTTGTTGACTTCAACGAAATAGACCACTTAGTAGAAATGGAGTTTCTCTTCAAAGATAAAGCTTTGTCACTAAGTCAGTGTTTTTTCAACTGAGGTTGAAAAACTCCAGGAAAAGGGACAGAAGGTGACTTTTAAGGGAACCTGAGGGCACATAGGCAGCACATAATAAATATTGGTTGGATGAACAAGGGGCCCCAGGAAATGGAGTGTAAAATTAGGTAGAGCACACTAATGCCGTGGCTCCTCCCAAGATGAGAGCTGTCTTTCCCCAGACGTGTTTTCTGCCTAGATCTCTATATTTAAATACTTAAAAGAAAGGGTCAGGATCCTTCTTGAATCCCTGGAAACTCTCAGTGCTCTGGCCTCATAAGGATCCTTCCACTAGGGACTGGTCCAATTCTTCATTGTTTTACTATCTTCTCCTTTCTCCATCCTAAAAAACAAATGAAAAGCAGAAAGAAAAAGGAAAACAGAGGATTGAAGAAAGAAAGAGGAAGTAGGAAGAAAGGAAGGAGGGACGGAAAAGAAAGAAAAATCCGCGACTCTTGTACATATTCAGGAACTTTCATTTTATTTCTGATTTCAAAGATGGCTCCTCCAATCACCTTGTTCTCCAATGTGCTGAGCTGAAAGACATTTGAGGAATAGCAGAAAAAGAAAAACCTTGGCATTGCTGACAAGACACGCTGCAGCATCTGGGGCACTCCTCAGAGACATGTGGCCAGGCTAACCTGGCCTCACTTTGCTGAGCTTGCAAAACCTAGAGGATGAGGTCACATTTGGCCATGACTATAAATAGACATCAGTGACAACTAAAACCAAAGGGGAGCTTTGCCTCTGATTCAGAGGCTGACATCTCTGAACAAAGGAATTGGGTATCCATCATTATCTAGAAATCTCAAGCAAAGCAAAACACTCTGCAAGGTGATTTTTGTGCCCTCCCTTTTTTGCTTCTGATCTTAGAAAGAGATCCCTTGGATTCCAATATCAAGTTGAGAAAAGATTCTGAGGAATTCCCTATTGCCTGGGATTCCCTAAGAAAAAGTATCCAGCCACTGCCTAATAGCAAAGGGAGTCATGTCACACCACCAAGCTGCACAATGACTTTATCCCAGGAGCAACTTTGTGTAATACATTATCTACTTACAGCGAGACCTAACATGGTAGCCTACATCCCCCGCTACTGCCCTCGGAGTTCCTTATATTGCATATATCTCATTATCTTCCGAGAGCCCACCCTCAGCTGACAACTTAACAGGGCTGAACGAGAGTGAAATAGCCTCCCCCGCTTCCAACACAGCCTGTAAGAACCAGGGTCCAAACATCTGCAGCACCTGTTCGCAGACAACTCATCGGAGGTATTTGTCTTCCAAATCACAAAGAGAAGTCACACAGGGAGCCAAGGTTCTTCCATCTTATGCAGTGGTGGGATTGGCTGCCCCGGAGCCATCCTTCCATTTCCTCTGAAGAACAAGTTGCTGCTGCTCCCTGAGACCCTGACCTCTGCCCCAACTGCAGTGTCAACCTGCATTGGTGAGAAAACAGGAGCCCAAGTCCCGAGTTCTAACATTAATAATAGTATCTGAGCAAAGTCTGTTCAATCAATACATGCAAGTAAATCTCTTAAAAAACTGCCATCTGGACTTGGGAAACATGTCATCTTTCAGGCTATGCATAGCATCAGTGTTTTTCTTTTCACAAATTTAGCACTCTGCCCCCTCCCCCCTGCTGCCTCGCCCCCTTCCCTTACTCCCTGCCCGTTCACCCTCTCCACAGCTCCGTCATTTGAGAAGCCCTGTCTTCACTTTTCTTTGTATTTAATTTTTCATATCATTTGCAGGACAGATCACATATTTGTTGTGATTTATTCAATACCCATCCCTCCTCTGACTTTGGAGAAGGCTATCACCTTCCCCTCCTGCTCAGGGAGAATCTGCCAAGTCCGCAGTTTGTGATTTTTGTCATAATCCATGTGCTTGAACAGTCAGGGGTGACTGTCTCAAGATTCTGCAGGTCCCCCAAAGCTGCCTTCCACCCATTGTCTGCCCACTTGGGCTTAATTCTCAGGAGGAGGAAAGGCAAGCCTGAGCTGAGGACCACATGATGCGACCTCATTGAGAATGAGAAATTCATTTATTTCTTCTTATTTATTCTCTAGGAATGAATGTATTTGGATTTGCTAATACATGTATAACTGTGTTTAAAATTTGCTGTAACATGCCGGGGGCATTTAAGAATTACAAAATGAGGCCGAGTGGCGCGGTGGTTAAGAGCTGGCTTGGGACGCCAGAGGGCCCCGGTTCAGATCCCACATATGAGGGCCAGTGACACTGCCCTCCACAGCTAAGATGCTGAACAGCAGCTCAACCTGGAGCTGGGCTGCCATGAGTCGCCTGTGATGGCGTAGGCTACAGCCCCTGTGGCAGTGGGTTGCCATGGGCTACCGTATGTAGCCAGCAGCCAGCGTGAACGGCCAGCAGCTGCAGTGAGCGGCCGTCCAGAGGCCAGCAACTGATCTGCCTCGCCCAGGAAGAGTGCAATGATGGTGCCAAATTGGGCCAGTGAAGCAACGTCCTCCACAACTAGACTGAAGAACAAGATGACAGCAACTTGTCTGTTCCTCTTCCCCCAATTCCCCAGCACTGTTCCCAACCCCCCAATTCCCCAATAAAAATCTTTAAAAAAAAAATTACAAAATGAAACTTCTTTGCCATTGCATTTAATCATGATGGGTCATTTTGTAGGAGGTATTGGCTATATCTACCTACAAAATGGCAGAACATTGAGAGAGAGGAAAAATAAACAAATACTCAAACTACTGGTGTAGGTCAGTTATCTACAATATTAAGATCTTTTTCAGTAAGAGGTGTCAAGAAACTAAAGGAAAAAGAAAACCATCATCTGGATGAGAGCAAATTTTTATGATCATCAGCCATGTGCAATCTTTCCCCTTTGGGGAAACCAAAGAATAAAGCTAAATCTGTCTCTTATAAAGGACCTAGATGATGAGCATGATAAGTTAGCATAGCAACAAGGGACCAAAACAAGCTTTTTTCCTTACAGATATCACCTTCCCCCTTGCTCATTAGTCTGTAGGCACATGTTTTAGCCTTCTGACTGGAAGGTAAACTGCTTGAAGGTAATATCTATGCATCACCTTAACCTCAATGACAGGGACCAATAGGAAGCGAATTCCCAGTGAAATAAGTGAATGAACTGTCACCTGGAATGGACAATCTCACCAGGCAGGTCAGGTAACTTTCTATGATCCTAGGGAGGAGAGGCCCCGGGGAGAGCATTCAGGAACTCCATCGCTATTGCTCTTGCTCTTTCAGGGCACCACCACCTCTGTTGGCAGCTATGCAATGACTGAGGTGCCACCGCAGTCCCCTCATGGCTGCATACATATAATAGTATTTTTTGCCAAAGTGACACCATGATGTGCAAACTCAAGGCTTTTGCATACCCCTAACACTTGTTTGTAATCCATCTGAAGCTTTTGACCTAGATGAATCCCCAGCCCTCCTCTTCCTGGTCCCCAACTGGCTTCTCTGTGGCTTGTGTTCCTAGCCATGCTCCTTTCTGCCAAGTCGTTAGAAGCAGTATGTCAAGGTTTCCTTCTGCCCCTGCTGCTTAGCGTCACACCACTCCGTTTTTCCAGAAACCCCATATTGGGTATTTAAAAATCAACCCCAGTACTGACTCTATGACCTTGAACAGGTCACTCAACCATTCAATGCCTCCATATTTCCCTTCTCTACAATGGGGAAACTATCAGCCACCTTTCCACCTCCGCCATAGGATTTTGTGAAACTCAAATGAGACAGAATTACACGAAAGTGTAACAGCACTGTAGAATTTTTTCCAAATAAAAGGTGTGACTCTTATCCGGGGCTGTCCACGGATTTATTTGGTGAAATCCAGACTATCCTTTGACATTTGTGGGTCTTTGTTTGGCCCACCTATCCAGGCAGAAATTTGCTTGGAGATCTTAAGCAAAAGATACGGTGGTACTACAAATTACCATGATCTAATTAGGCCTCCCTCCATAAATCTGTCATTTGAAAGCCATTCAGGCCTGCTCAGCCCAGCCCTTGATTTAAACTGCTCCAGGAGTCTAGCCGAAGATATGTCCAGGACAGAATCCAACACAATATTCCGGTCTCCTCCCACTGCTCCCTCGAGGATGGGCTGTTCACCAATTTTGGCCACAATAACAGTTATGTAGAAGAGAGATTCATTATAGTTTGGGCATAGATCTTAACCAGTGCCCATGCAACCTCGTGACAACATTATTTAGCATTCAGATTGGATGTGAGCTCTTATTGTGAAAAGAATATTGCTAAAGATTAGCATTGCTGGATGCTGGGCCCTTGAAGCAAAGAGCGACAGATCGGAAAGACACATATTCTTTCCTTTGAATTGACATGTGTGTGAGCAACATCCCATAAGTATGATGAATACTTTCAATGACATACAAAACAGAACTATGGTTTGTTTTTTGTTAATGCTGATTGTGGTCAAATCAAATAACATCCATTCCCAGTTGTTGTGATCAAAGAAGATAAAAAAGAGACATAGAAAATTCAAACTCACTTATCCTGGGTTCTAGAACGTGTACTTGTGCTTATGTGTGATGGTGGGTGTCTCTGGGGCTCTGGGAATCTATACTTACCGATGCAGCAGTGCCAGTGTCCTCCCTTGGCAAAATCTGGGAGGCGGAAAAACATCCCCCTCGTCCCTCTGCTCGTCTCCTTCCCGCTACTGCTGATCCTGCTCTCCCACCCTTGCCCCACCATCCCTCAATACACACCCCACACTTCCACCTTAATATCTTTCTGCACCTCATTGCAGGCTGTTTGGGTTTCAAAGAAATGCTCTGTGTGCAAAGCAAACAGAAAGACGTGGAATATCAACAAAGCTTATTAAACAGCTAATGGACTTATATTCCCCGGAGGAGCCGATTCTGGGCTGGGAGAACCTGGCTGAATGCACACAAACTTATCAAGATGTGCTTCCCATAGCTTTCTTGTACAAGTCGGAACTGGGAAGGACATGGAATAATCGTGTAACAGATGAAGATAGCATAGCATTGACGATGAGGGGGAGGCAGGTGCTATAGTGTGCAAGTCCCAGGAGACAGCCAGGTAATTGAGTCAGGGACTTGGAGGGGAATTAGTACTTTGTGCAGCTGTAAAGGGGCAGGGGGATAAGAAGAGGTCAGAGGCCCTGGAACTGCCTAAGGGACTCAGGCTTTGCACCCACCCTCATGGAGGTTTTGCTAGGTTCTAATCAGCTAAGGCCAATACGAAGATCCCAGGATGTGTCTAGTGCTGAGGGATGGGGTGATTAGGGGGGAGGAGGGCATGGAGACATAAAGCTGAAGGATCAGAGGACCGCAGAGGGAGAGGAATTAACCAATAAAGGGCCATTTGGGCGTCCCCTTTCACGTGGGCTCAGATTAATGGGGGAAGCGAGCGCCCACACACATCAAGGAGAGCACAGCACCGAGCTTTTCAAGCCGAGCTCACAGGAAGGAAAGCCTGAGGAAACATGAAGCAGGAGCTTGAAGCTGTACCAAGGAAAAGGGTCGGGTGAATGTTTTCAAAATAAAAAAAAAAAAGGCTGAGAAGAGCGCAGCGAACAGGGTGGCACCGGAGGTCAATCGGCACATTCAAGTGGTTTGATTGTTGCTATCAAAAAGATGCTTGGAAAGGAAAAGGAAGAAGGCACAACACTTTCAAGTTTTGAGCTCCTTTTTTCTTTCCTCAAAAAAGAGGCATGAGACAGGCAGAGCTGAAGATGATTTTTGTCTATTTTGGGCGACGATGCTCGTGTCAGTGGACTCCAACCAGTCAGGGAGTGGAGAGGCAAGCAGTCATGTTGGAGCCTGAAATTGAGGCTGAACGTGGCGGTGACCTGAGCCCAGGAGCCACACACAACTGCAGGCGGGACGTGTGCACGTGGCCCTTCCAGCCCTGGGCGAGCTGACCAAGACACAGGCTGAGCTCCCCTTCTTTGTGGCTGTTGCCTTCAGCCCTCTTGGTCTCCAGGGGGAAAAAAACATTCAGGGGGAAAAAAAAAAAAGCAAAACCCTTCCTGAAGAACCACTCTGGACTCAATGCCAACCTGAGACAGCTGCTGTTGAACAACAACATCAAGGGCCTACTGTCCCTTCCTGCCCCTCCTCCTCCACCGCCACAGAAAGAACTGTGAAAAGACCAAGAGTTGGTGGGCGGCCAACAAGAACTAAAGAACTTGCAGCTGGTAAAACCACCTGTGCCTTGTCAAATTCCAGCCAAAACAATCCCTTCCCCCGAGTCTCCCGTTAAGGAGAAGGGGAGAAAATGCGATCATAAGATGAGAACCAAGGGGGTGGAAAGTGAGTGCGGTGGCTCCACACCAAGCACTCAGCCGGGTGGGGACGAGACTATTGGGAAATGGTGCTAATGGGGGTCAAACATACAGCGCTGTGCTCTTGAGAGAGAAAAAGAGCAAGAGCCATGTTCAACCGAGTCAGGCACA